CATGAGATCAGGGCCCTTGCTGCGTCATGGGCCCTCCTCAATGGGTCCCCCTTTCAGGAGGTCATGTCCGCAGCTTTCTGGCGCGGACAGACTACCTTCACGGATTTTTATCTCCGGTCCTTGGCCTCTCATTCTGATGGATTGTATTCCCTTGGACCGGTGGTGGTTGCACAGTCTGTGGCTGTTCCTCCACAGTAATTCAGTGATTTTAAATAGTATGCTATCAGGCACCACGGTGGTACACCTGCTCGTTTCACGGGGAGGTTTTCCATTTTTTAATTACTTTCGGGGCTTTATTAGGGGGGTTCCTTGAACCTTTTCCCTACCTTGAGCATGTCTCGAGTTTGTTCCGTCAGCCTGGTCTGCCTGGATTCGAAGCCTCCACTACGGTAAGACGAATTCGCATACTAAAGTTATGGTAATTATTACTGAAATGAAATTGAGGTTTTTGAAGTAAAACCAATTTTCATGATGTAATACTTACCATAACTTTATGGAGTCCCACCCTGTATTCCTCCCCTTGCCTCCTCATCCTGGCTGCCTTTAGGCTCCATAAAAGGGGGTTTGAGGAAGGGAGATCACTCCGTGGCTCTGTCATCGAGATAGAGGTTACGTCACGGTAGGGAGGTAGGGATATTTGAATCTTTTGTTTTTGGGCTACAAAGATGGGTGTAGGTATTGTATATGCATACTAAAGTTATGGAAAGTATTACATCATGAAAATTGGTTTTACTTCAAAAACCTCAAATTTAAACAGTTAAAGCATGCTAGTATTTATCGTTTTCGGTTAAATATGAAGTTCTGTTTTTATCCTGTTTAAGTCATTAAGTGTGAGCTCTACTGTTATTAGTAACCAAGCATATATCACTTACATATAGATGATGTGTAGATATTAATTGTGAATTTAACAATTGTTGCTTTGTTGTAGTATTGGTGTGTGGTGCAGAAGGCAGTCCCAGGAGGTGTGGAGGTCAAGGTGACCTTTTGTCCGGTACGATGGGAACCCTCACTCACTGGAGCCACAGCCGAGTGGACACCACCACCAAGTATGTACTCTAACAGTTCATGTCGTGTTACAAATCTCTGTTTTCGATGAAAAGAAGAAGGTTTGGGGGGATTGAATAACTATGGATATATAAATATTGGATAATGAGCAGTACAAGCAAGATACTAATCATTCCTGTTGTCGTGTACAGATGATAAAATATATGCTGTCTCACCCCTGTTGTCATGTTACACGACAAGAGACTTTGGAGTTACCTGTCCTCGTCTTGACTGGTTATAGTGCATCACAGTAATCCAATCAATTGCCACTAGAATCAGCACCATCAGTTGAAAAGAAGTTTTTATAGGTGCAGAGAGCACATTTTTCATCATGTGACCTAATCGGTTTTTTGATTTGCCACAAGATGTTGCGTTTCATGGTCTCCAATATAAATAAAAAGGCGGCGACTGAATTTAATTTGAACACTTGTAAATTCATCACCAAATATTTACGTAGACTTGTTGAAATAATCATGGATATTTCAATATAATTCAGATAAAACCGGAGTTGCTGTACAGAAAGCGTTAAATTGAAATAAAAATATAAATTCATCCCATTTGCTCTGAGTCAGCTAACTGCGGTTGTGTCTGGATATGTTCATGGTCCCCCCTTGTCTAAAGTGAATGGGAAACCTACCATAGCATGTAAGTTAGGATAGGGAGACAAAGCAACATAGCATACAGTAAGTGTCAACATACAGGGGAACTGTCTCACCCTTGTAGAGTAACCACATGTATGTAGGCTATTTACCTATAGTAAATTAGCATGTTCCATTTGTTATGTATAAGAACATTGTGCAAAAAGATGAGAGGCGTACATTTCGTTGTGAAATGTGGACACATGGTCTGCATGTGTTGTCTACGACATACATGTTTACATGTACCACACTCTTCTGCAGTATCTAGACGTCATGTAACCTTGGATACTGGTAGGGAAATATATTATTGATATTTGAACAATGACAGGAAAATGTGTTATTAATGTTTGAAAGAACTTGTTTGTTAAATTGACCACCTGGCTTAACTTGGTTTTCTGGGTTCAATTTGCCGAATTCCACTTTTTGCAACAGTCTTGCCAGAAATATATCGCAGAATTCACTTTCCCTTGGGAATGCCTATATATTAATAAATAATTTTTGGTTATGGTATAATGCATAAGGTAAGGAAAGTCTATTTATGTAATCATTTTTCAGAGACAATATATAAAGCAATAATCTATTTTATACATATCCAATAATCCTCTAAAACCGTTCGGATATGTAGGACAAATATAGATGTCCAGTATATTTCTGTTAGCAGAGTGTAAGCCTTACTGAACGAAATGTTCAAAATAAGAACCAATTCCAGCAGCAGTTATCTACCTATATTAATTGTTTATATAAGACACTGTTCCCTGAGTGTACCAGTCTATTCAGCTGTACAAATGGGTAGTGGCACAATGGGAAGTTAAAGGCTGATGTCCTGACAGGGGAGAACAATAGAATCTAGATCACTCATGCGTGAATATAGACAAAGAAATCGCAAACCTCATATTATCAGGATAAGATTTTTGAGGTTCAGCACTAAAGCTTTGTGTGATGAATATCATTTTTTTTTATCCAGAAGGTCTATATCATGCATGAGTAAATTGGTTATTATTAACCATACTTTCCCACCAGTGGTAATGGTGAACCCATTGCATTACACTGATATCATCAATGAGGCTTGCAATGTGTCACAAAATTGATGATATGAGATTAAACTACATAAAGTGATGATGTTTGGTGATGTGATTCTATCGTAAAGTTGTGACATTTTCAAAATAAAGGTGTGTAATAAACTCACTTTACCTCGGTAGAAAACAGACAAATCTTTTCCCCAGAAAAAACCGGAATGGACATGTTAGGTGTTGGAAAAATGGAAACTAAATCTCTATACTCCTCCAGGTTAAAAAACACTAAACACTTAATTAATAAAGGAAAGTTAGAGTAATAGGATAATTTTTTAGTTGACTAACTCCAAATACTGGAACAAAAATATTGTACATGCAGCACAGGACTTATTATTCCTATGTGTATACTGGATCATAGGAAACATGTACTTGGGTAGGATCTAGTGATGATATGTAATTAAACACATGCAAATTACTCAAGGTTTTGAAACTCCAACTGTTTATTCTTTGAGGAAGTAGCTACATATATCAGTTTTGTACATTGGAAAATACAAAAACCAACCTGTTCAATTTTCGGGTTTGTTTCATGTTTTCCCCTATGTACCATTGATTGTATTTATGAGGTTTGTACATGTTAACCTATCCTTGAGGTTGAGCTAGCAATACACAGTACTCCACCTCCAGTGATCTGTGGGGATATCTTCAGTTCTGACAAGACACAAAAATGTGTCTTGCAGTTTTAAAAGTGAGAACATTAAACTACAAGGTTTAGACTGAAGATATGTGAAGTGTAAATTAGATATCTGTTTGGTATAGGACGAGCTGCTAAACCCTTTTACATAATGGTTTATTTTGCTGAAGGATGGTTGGGGGTCATGCTCGGCTGTATTAGGTATACATTAGTGTCCGTCTGTCGGGCACCACTGCATAGGAATAGTTATTTTCAAAACTTGTTTTTGCTCAATGCATTTATAACAAATATTTGGTGAGACAATTCTTATTTTATCTTGTTAAAACATTGAGACCTGTCTTCTTATAAATGAATTCAAGGAAATTTTGATTTTATTTTCTGTTCTTTCCTTAAAAAGGAGAAAGTTGATTTTGATAACTGATTCTAAATTAATAAATTGCATTTCTCATTGAAGAATTGAACATGAAATGAAGTTGTTAAGCTCACATCTGTACTATTTCTGATGTGATCTCGTGTGACTGTGGGCCGGAGAATGACATAAAACTACTGGGGACCTATGTTTAGGTAGCAGCAAACACTGGTTGTGTCCCCCTGAGTAATTGTACTAATGGTGTTAGTCCCGTGTAAGTCACCCTCCGCTGGTGTCCCACTTTGAACCCAGGCCTGCCGCTGACTTTGACCACCATCACGTCTGGTGATTGTTAAGATACCAGGGTTCCGTGTGAAGGTTGGATACCATTATTGCTTTTATATTTTCCTGTTTTTGTTAATAAAATGAGGACCATACCTAATTTCATTTTATTTAGTTTAATTATGACGGTTTTGTTTGATTGATAGTCTGATATCAGACGTTTGCCTGTATGCTGCCTGGGAAAATCTAGGTAGGTAGAAATTGTGAACGTGGTGGTGAGCAGCATTACAGTGGGTAATTCACACAAAACAGTAATTGTTAACTTCACTAAAATTGTGCACCTATTTAATGAAATAAAATAATTCATGGATAAATGAGTCTTCAAAGAATCATTGAACATTACCTTTTAACTCTTTTTTTTTCCAGTTTGTAGTTGACAGTGTAAAGTGAGGTATCTTTGATTTGTCCCCTCAATACTACACCGAGAAGGTGGGCAGTGTAAAGTGAGGTATCTTTGGTTTGTCCCCTCGATGCTACACCAGGAAGGTGGGCAGTGTAAAGTGAGGGATGTTTGTTTTGTCCCCTCGATACTACACCAGGAAGGTGGGCAGTGGTTTGTGCCCTCGATACTACACCGGGAAGGTGGGCAGTTTAAAGTGAGGTATGTTTGGTTTGTCCCCTCGATGCTACACCAGGAAGGTGGGCAGTGTAAAGTGAGGAATGTTTGGCTTGTCCGCTCGATACTACACCAGGAAGGTGGGCAGTGTACAGTGAGGTATCTTTGGTTTGTCCCCTCGATACTACACCAGGATGGTGGGCAGTGTAAAGTGAGGTATGTTTGTTTTATCCCCTCGATACTACACCGGGAAGGTGGGCAGTTTAAAGTGAGGTATCTGGTTTGTCCCCTCAATACTACACCGGGAAGGTGGGCAGTGTAAAGTATCTTTGATTTGTCCCCTCAATACTACACCGAGAAGGTGGGCAGTGTAAAGTGAGGTATCTTTGGTTTGTCCCTTCGATACTACACAGGGAAGGTGGGCAGTGTAAAGTGAGGTATCTTCGGTTTGTCCCTTCGATACTACACCGGGAAGTTGGGCAGTGTAAAGTGAAGTATTTGGTTTGTCCCTTCGATACTACACCGGGAAGTTGGGCAGTGTAAAGTGAGGTATCTGGTTTGTCCCCTCGATACTACACCGGGAATGTGGGCAGTGTAAAGTGAGGTATCTTTGGTTTGTCCCCTCGATGCTACACCAGGAAGGTGGGCAGTGTAAAGTGATGTATGTTTGTTTTGTCCCCTCGATACTACACCAGGAAGGTGGACAGTGGTTTGTGCCCTCGATACTACACCGGGAAGGTGGGCAGTTTAAAGTGAGGTATGTTTGGTTTGTCCCCTCGATACTACACCGGGAAGGTGGGCAGTTTAAAGTGAGGTATCTGGTTTGTCCCCTCAATACTACACCGGGAAGGTGGGCAGTGGTTTGTATCCTCGATACTACACCAGGAAGGTGGACAGTGTAAAGTGAGGGATGTTTGGTTTGTCCCCTCGATACTACACCAGGAAGGTGGGCAGTGTACAGTGAGGTATCTTTGGTTTGTCCCCTCGATACTACACCGAGAAGGTGGGCAGTGTAAAGTGAGGTATCTTTGGTTTGTGCCGTCGATACTACACCGGGAAGTTGGGCAGTGTAAAGTGAAGTATCTGGTTTGTCCCCTCGATACTACACCGGGCAGGTGGGCAGTGTAAAGTGAGGTATCTTTGGTTTGTCCCCTCGATGCTACACCAGGAAGGTGGGCAGTGTAAAGTGATGTATGTTTGTTTTGTCCCCTCGATACTACACCGGGAAGGTGGGCAGTGTAAAGTGAGGTATGTTTGTTTTGTTCCCTCGATACTACACCGGGAAGGTGGGCAGTGTAAAGTATCTTTGATTTGTCCCCTCAATACTACACCGAGAAGGTGGGCAGTGTAAAGTGAGGTATCTTTGGTTTGTCCCCTCGATGCTACACCAGGAAGGTGGGCAGTGTAAAGTGA